ATAATTGATTCTGATTGGTCAATTTGCTTATGATCTTACGATTACGATTAAAATTTTTTCACGTGTAATGGCCTTTACCACACGGAAGTGATTATCAACCACCCCTTTGTTTCGCAATCGACGAAATGTAAGTGTAAGCTGTTGATTGGCCGAAAATCACATGATTCGTCGTGTCAATCGCTGATAGGGTGAAATCGATCGGATGATCCTGCAAGCTCTTCACAAAACTCTTGTTCAAAATTCTCGGTCACTCGACCATGCGCTTATCTCGGGAAAGGTAAATTGTGCTTGTATCGTTAGATCTATCACTCTTGTCGTATTACTCGGTAGTGAGGCTCGTGTCGTAATTTATGCTTGTTAAACTCACTCGCTTCGTGATAATATTTCATTTTAGTCGTCGCGTTTACTTTTCGGCGAAGCATTCCGAATCGTGATGAATCCGTACACGACCGCATTCAAATCCTTCCTGAATTTTATTCAATTCAAAGTTCTTTATCGCCATGTTGTGATTCGAGTACCTTCGAACTCGACAAGAATGCGAGCGTTTTCAAGAGAGCAAATTTTCGGTTACAAGAGCGTGTATCTCAGATTGACGAAGCGGCACGTAATCATTCGTAAAGTTCAATCAGTGTGCAAGAACTTGTGAACATTCTCAACCCGTTGCAAACATTCTTTCAACGTCCCGTTGTGGACATTCTCTCATCACGTGGTCGCTCAATTTGTACGAAGAACTACGTAGAATGCGATGATTGGCGAACAACTATTCTACAGTGACGGTGAGTATTTCATATTTTTCTATTTCATATTTGTTTCATACATATTTGTTATATTGAACAAATTCTATTTTATTTTTTTCATTAATAAAGAAGAGCGTCTGTTCCGTTCTACTACTTTTATCTTCTGGCGTACCACATGTTAAATTTAAAGTAAGTACAGTCAAATTATTAACTTGTTTTTTTCCACCATCCCAGTCTCGAGCATTTGATAACACTTTTCCTAAGAAACTCAAAATTTCCTTTTCTGATACAGATATCTCTGCAATACTTTTATTAAGTAGTCACATTTATAATATAAAAAAGAAAATTGATAAAAATAAAAATCGAAACAAATTCAATATAAATTGAATAAAATATGATTTATAACGTAAAGATATTAAAAACATTCTGACTCTTCATGCAATTAAAAAAATGTATTGCACATAAGAAACTTATTATTAACTTTTTTAAAATTTATAAATTTCATTGCGATTTGTGCTGTTATAAACTTTTTTAATATAAATATTTACTAAAGATTTAGTAATAACTCCATTTTTATTTAAATAGATCCTAAATCAATCAATTTTTGCAAACCACTAGATTCTTTTTCAAATTTTTTTTCAGTGTTATCTGTAAAATACATATTTTTAAAATAAAAATAAATTAATTAAAAAATTTAAACTTAGAAAATTAGATAATAAAACTATCCTTATATTAATATTAAGAGTTGATATTCTTTTCAAAAAAATATAAGAAAATCCAAAATATATTCATTATTATTATGATTTCTTTATTTATCTCAGATAATAAATTTGAGATAATTTATGTACACATACTCAGATAGCAAATTGCCCTCATGCTGCTGTCAATTTGTTTGAACCTATTTTGCTTAAATTGCCTTTATTATTGAAGAAAGCTCCGCTCTTGTGATATTCAAAATGAAATTCTAATGATAAATTTTGTGCATTTATTGATTTTTTATGACCGTGATAAGCAATCAAAAGAGGTTCTGCGATATGGCTATTATTATATGAATTTCACCAAGATAGAATAGGCCATAATTGACTTTGTGAACTCTTTGCAAAAGGTAATTCATCAATATTTATATTTATTAATATAATATAATATTATTAATATTATTAATATAATATAATATATTATTAATTTCTATAACATCATTTATATCTTTGAAATATTCTAATCTTTCCTGTAATGCTCTTTGTAAACCATAGTAAAAGTAATTTCCCATTTGACATTCTCGAATTATCATTTTTGGTGTTTCTAATAGAGTTCTAACATCAGTGGGCAAGTCACTGTGACCTTTTGTGCAAAATATGTAATAAAGCTGTTAAGGATTTTAATTTTACATTACATTGTATAACCCATGTATGTAATAGTTGTTTTAAAAATTTATTTGCTTATATTAGATAAATTAAAATCTTGAATAGATACAATATTGTCGTCAGATTGTAAGTTTTGTATGTTATCTATTTTAAAAGATAAATTTATTTCACCGGCCGAGTTTTTAAAACAGATGTCATATTATTATACTTATTTTCATTGAAAGAATTCATGAAATCACTTCTTTCATTTTGCGTAGCTAACAATAAGCAACGATTTTGTTTCCTATGAGATAAATCTCGAAATTTCTTAATTTTCGGCATTGTAATAAATTCCTCACTAAATCCTGTTATTGAAAAATTAAGTATTATGAATAAAGTTTTATACAATATACGTCATTACAGATAATCATTTTGCTTAAAAAATTGTTACAGTATCAGTCACAGCTATTTATCATTATTTTGATTTATGACATTAAAAGAGAAAACAAAATACAAATTTTCACAAGATATATTAAAATAATTATTTTATTATTTTATTAATATTATATTAAAATAATTCTTAAAATAATGGTCACTGCTCAGCTATCAGGAACAACTAGATCTAGTGATCTGGTGGTTTCTGATAGCTAATTGTAAGTAATATAATCATTATAAGAATTATTTTATACTTTTTCATGATTTTATTGGATAGATACTTTACTTTCTGGTATTTTTTACAAGTTTTAATATCAGTTATATAAATAGATAAATAAAATCAACATATTTGATTTTATTTACCTATTTATCTATCTATTTATCCAGTTATTTTTATCTCTCTTTCTTTATTTACTTATATATTACTTTATTTTATTTATACTTATTTTATATATTATTCTTTATGTTTGAAATGTATTATTTACATTGGAATGTACACGTATGTCTACTTAATTTGATCTTCGCTTAGTTATATATTCATTGTACTTTAACAAATTGTTTCTGCTTACTTACTTATCATACTGCCTAATATTTAAAATACTGCCTAAAATTTAATCTATTTATCTTATTTGCTTTTATTTACATTTATCTTTTTATTTATTTTCGCCTACAGATAAATTTACACACCTATATACTTTCTACATTTGTTATATTTTTATTTCTATTTAATTCAACTTCTAATTCAATTAAACTTAATCTAATTTAATTTAACTTAATTTATTCTAATTTAACTCAATTTAATTTAAATATAACTCAATTTTTAATTAAGCTATACTTTTTTTATCTCTATACTATCTACTTGTAAGTGTTAATTTAACATATAGATGTAACTATAACTATTCAACTCTCTTAACTTCAATTATTTCTGCTTAGTATTAATAAATAAAGTTAGTATTAATAAATAAGATTTAATTTCAACTCTTCTGTATATCAGTCTTAATTTAATTTAACATTACTCTATTCTGATTTAATTCATTTTGACTTAATTGATTCAATGCAATTTTCACTTATGCCTTCTTATTACTATACTCATTAATTCTCATTTTCTTTCTCTATTCCATTATATTTATTTATTATTATTTCTTTTGAAAAACTTGTTTCACGAGCGCCGGATAGCTATGGCCTCATTATGCTATTCTTGGCTGCTCTGGATGAATACTTGTATATTGCTTATTGATCCCAATAAACACACGATGATATATTATACGTTTAAATCAGATATTTGCTGGAGGTTTAAATGTAATAGATTCAATATATATCAGTTCCGTATAATTTTAGTTGTGATGTCCGGCTGGTATACATTATTATAAACCTCATTTATTTGTTTTTTAACGCTATTTTCCAATCAATTAAAATCGTATTTAATGAATAAACTATAGTGGCTAACGAAAGTATTCGAACGTTTACATTTATGATTTTTAGTACATCAAATATTTAAACAGAAATTTCTGAAACAATTTGGCGTTTATAGCAAGAGAGAAGTTCAGAGATTGTGTTAGTAAAATTAAAAAATAATTCAATTATATATATAGGATTTACAAGATATTTATTACAAGTACGTATCATGAACGGATAATAAAAGTATTCAAAGTTGCAAATATTTTTACATTTTTATGTACTAATATTTTGTTATACCTCCTTTGATATTAATCAATGTTCAATCTTGATCCTGCAGTGACTTTGACTTATTGGCCTGATTTATCTGCAGGATCGATAAGATTGATAATAAATACGTGTACATCAAGATGAACACATTAGCAATATATCTAATAACACACTAATTCTTTTTATTTGTTCTATCTTTTTTTCTTTTTGTCTAATTTATAAAGAAATGCATAAATTATATATATAATTATATATATATAAATTATATTATATATATATAAATTATATATCTTCATCATTACATTGTTTGTTCGTATCGATTTTTATATCCATATAAACATATATTTCGTAATCTCTAACTACAGTCTTGTTCCCTCACAATTCTGATTGACTGATTATTAATAAATGCGCATAACGAGAATAAGAAAGTAGAAAATGAAAGAGTGAGTGAGATAGTATGTTTATCACTCTTTTTTCGTTGTGTGTATTATAAAAAAAAATGTGAAGTATGAAAGTGTCAAGACGCGCTTTTTGAACATAGAAAGATGGTTACAAAATGTATAATGATGATGATGATGATGATGATGATGATGATGATGATGATGATGATGATAATGATGATGATGTATTTATTTTTATTTAACGTCACTACAAATATAGCCAATGTTTCGCGTTTCGCGTTGTAGTTTGTTAGTTAACATGTACCTCGGCCTATATCTATGTGTTGATTATAAGTATACTGGATAATATATGCAACATGTCATTTTAAGAATGAATGAATTTTTCAAGTAGTTGAAAATAACAATTGCATTTAACCGCGAGATGATAGTTCTGCTTGCAATTTAAACACATAAAAAAGATCAAAATAACAAATCTAACATATACATAAAGCACATTGAGAGAAAATGAAATAGTTCTGATAATTATAATTATATATTTCTGAAATTTAAGTTCCTTAAGTGTTAAAGTAATAAGAACCAAAGTATTACTGAATATTATAAAAGTATAATAATGGCAACAATATATGTAAACTATTAATTGATAGTGAAATAGTAACTCAATTATAATTACACAATTATATAAATTTCAACAAAGAAGATATAGCATTTATATTTTTACAGTTTAGACAAATATTTTTTTGAAATAAGCCTTTTTTACAATTCTATAATATTAGAGATAATTTAAAAAAATACATTTTGACAACGTTATACAATATATATGTAGATATGTGTAAATATATAAAAGCTGTAGATGAAACAGTTAATAAAATTCAAAAATAGTTATCATATGAAGCCGTTGAGGTCATATGGACTGCGTAAATTCGCGATTTGTAACAAAGAATCCCGAGTTTAAATCTCTGGCGATTTCGTTTATTTTTCTGAATTTCTTCTATTAATTTATCTAACAATGATTTATTATAAATACTTAATAGATTTTCGATGATTTCTTTTTTTTACCGATTTGTCTGTGTTTATAAACCGTGCTTCTTCCGAATTTAGCGGTGCGTGCGTCGTGCCCTCCGAAGGGAAACTGGCCTGCTCGTATTTTCGCGGACGTTTTATATCCCGAGCCCTTCATCAAGTTATTTATATTTTCTTTGGCTTTTCTTTTAAGATTTCCATCCAATTCCTTGAGCCGCGTTTTGACTGCTTCCTTGAACGGAGTATTGTTTTCAACATCCTCTATCACGCCAATTTCGGCGCGCATTCCTCTGCTTAGATAAGGAAGTACTCTTCTAAATAATCCTCCAAGAAAACTAATCCCATGACCGCGCTGATAGACTGAACCAATAAAAATTCATGGAAAAATTCATCTGCCTCCCCTGCCTCCACCGTTTTGCATTTCGTAATATTCGTCATATTCCATGGAGGTTTAGTTTTTTTTAAAACTTCGTAGACTTT